CGAGCGGTGGAATCGTTTCCTCTTGGCACCTCTGTCTTGATTTTCACTTGAATATTGGTCAGGAACCGCTGGATCCTCTCCAGGAAGACTCGGTCCATAGCCAGGTAACGAAACCTGTTCTCGAACTTGCTGATCGTTTCCGTAGCCTGGTTGGGGAAGGGGAGGAAGGGGGACCATGTCACCGAGGAGGAGGATTTTAAAACGCCACTAAAACGAAGCAGGATGGAGAGGGAGGGAACGGAGCAGACAGAGGGAGGAGGAGGGCTGGGGGTGTGGGAGGAGGGGTTCCAGAGGGTGGGAGCCACAGCAGAAAAGGCCCTTCTTCTGGACCTCACCAGCCCCAATTCCTTGGCCAAGAGGCTCCGTGCCATGCCTCTTTGGGGCGAGTGTGTTTCTCAGAGGGCTTACCTTGCACCTATGCCATGTATACAGGTAGTCCTTGGCTTACAGCCATTTCTTTAGTGACTGTTCAAAGCTATGGCGGCATTGACTTAAGGGGCTGTTTTTTTTTTTTTTCACTCTTGCAGCATCCCCCAAATTCAGACACTCAGCAACCGGCTCGTAGTTACGACGGTCGCAGCGTCCCTGGGGGAGTCAGACACCTTCTGAGAAGCGAAGTCAACGGGGAAGCCAGATTCACTGAACGACCGTGGGACCAATTGGAGACCGGCAGAGATTCGCTTAACAACGGGGGTCAAAAACTCACTTAACGACCATCCCACTTAACTACAGCTGACATTTTGGGCTCGACGGTGGTTGTAAGCCGAGGACCAGCTGCATACAAGGATCCACTCGCTCCCTTCTGACTCTCTTCCCCAAACCCGACTCTGGTCGCTTGGCATCGTCTCTCTCTCTCTCTCTCTGTCTCTCTCCTCTCTCTCCCTCCCCCCCCCCCCCCCCCCCCCTCTCTCTCCCTCTCTCTCGGGCTGACCTGCTCCAGGTAGCCGGTCTCTGCTTTCTCCATGTCGATCATGATCAAGCCTTCGACAAACTCGATCCGCGAGTTCTCCTTCTGCAGCTGCTTCATGAAGATCTCCAGTTCGTCGGGGGAGAAGTTCCCACCATCTGCGAAGAGTCTAACAACAACAACAACAACAACGGGGACGGCTCAAGCGTTGGCTGGAGAAGGTCAACCGAAGAGAGAGAAGCAACCTTCCTGGGGCTAGAAGACCTCCAAGGTCCCTTCCCACCCTCTTAATTCTGGGCACCTGCAGGCTTTCAGGAAGTCCGTGTTAGAATCTCGCAGTTTCCCCAAAGCTTCCTCCAGGTACTGTCGGTAACTCCGCATGGAGACCTGGAGCACTTCCACGTGGTTCAGCAACTCCATGTGGAGGTTACGGCTCAGGGCCATCACCCTGTGGAGGAGAGAATGGACGGAAAGCCGCGTGACTTTGAAACACCCTTCGAAGGTGACACGCGTTGCCAGCCGGTAAGGAAAGGGGGAGAGGAGAGAAGGGAAGGGAGGATAGGAAAGGGAGGGAGGAATTAGGGGAGGGGGTGGGAACCAAGTCATGGGAGAAGCACCAGCCAGCCCGTCCACCTCAACCATCGGAAGGAAGCGAGCTGGAAACGGAGGCTCTGCTACCCGAAGAATGTCCAAGCACTCGACTGGACATTCATTGGGGAGAAGGGGGAGGGCCGTGGAAAAGGGGACGTTAAGTGATCTGCATGTGGGCGTCGCACACCGCCCAGAGGCTGTCCAAGGAGGACAAAGTAGGCATCTTAATTTGTTAAACTCGGTAACATCTTCCGTTTTGGGTAATGAAAACGGAGGATGTTACGTAGTTGGGTTTTGAAATGTCTGCAAAAAAAAACCAGAAACCCCCCACCTAGCTGAGAGAGCACCAAGGACCCCACAGTCTTCCTCCTCCTCCTCCATTCCACACACCCCTCTCCTTTGTAGTACTGATCCTCCTCCTCCTCACTTAACAACCCCATAATCCCTTGCGGGGTGGAGTCTGGGCAACTGAATGGAGCTAGCTGAGTGTTTGAATGGCCGGAGGCCTTTCCTGTTGCTGATGCGGAGTTTTATTTTTCAGCGGATATATTCTCCGTGTGACCAGAGAGAGAAAGATCTGCCTCTACCTGGGATCGAACTCACAGCCCCCTGATTGGGAGGCAAGAGCTCCACCTCTGGGCCATTGCACTCCTGTTCCCTTCTACATTCTGATGGCGCCTTCTGCAGGGCCATCTCCAAAGCCCAGAGGCCCAATCCTATGGGGAGATGGTGGATGGCATCCCCTATCTTTCCAACGTCCAACTGACTTTTCCGCCCGGCTTTCCATCTGGAAGACTTTCTCCATCTCTTGGATTCGGTTTCGGAAGGATTTGCCGACCGCGTTGTGGTCTTCTCGGATCTTGAGGAAGGCGCCTCTCTCTTTATTCAGCGCCTCAATCAAGGCGGCGCAGTGACGCTTCAAGCGGTCGCTGTGAATCCGTAGCTCCGCTGAGAGAAAGGGTGAAAGTTCCCCGAGGTGAGATAAGGGAGGGAAGGATAGAAAAGGGTTCCAAAAAGTTCACCCTCAAGCTGGTGAGGAGAGCCCGACGGGATCAGACAAGATCCCAACAAGTCTCTGCTCACAAAACAGGCTTACAAGTGTTTGGGAAAGGAGATTAACACCAGCACGGATGATGTTACCTAGTTGGGTAATGAAACGTCTGCAAGAAAACAAGCAAGCTCAGAGAGCACCAAGGACCCCACAGTCTTCCTCCTCCTCCTCCTCCTCTTCCCTCCCTCCCTGCCTCCTGGCACTTGATGATATGATTTGTTAGGTAATGATCAAAATTTGGACACTTGGCAACTGACTCATATTTATGATGATCGCAGTGTGTGTGTGTGTGTGTGTGTGTGTGTGTGACATGATCCCTTTTTGCTACCTTCCCTTTAACAGCTGTGTGATTCACTCAATAGCTGCAGCGATTCATTTAACCACAGTGGCATGAAAAGTCGTAAAACGCGACAGGCCCCAAACCTCGCCTCGTTTAGCAGGAGAAATTTTGGGCTGGGTTGTGGCCGTTAAGTCGAAGACTGTCTTTAAATGTGTCCCCCGGCGTCTAAATACCCCCCCCCCCTCAACTTCAATCCAAGGACTCGCACCGCAAGGACCGGGAGTGGATCTGGCTATAGGATTAAAAACAGCAACAACAGAACCAAAACGGCGTACCCATCCTGACGTTGTAGACATCCTTCTCGATACGCTCCCTCCGGGGTTCGTGAAGATGGAGGCGCAGCTGCAGCTCGGCATTGAGCTCTTCCTTCTTCACCACCACCACGACCCAAGTGCTGGCTAAGGTGTCATCAAACCACTGCTCCAGGTGTTCAAAGAACTGGAGTCGGATACTGCCGGGGGGGGGGGGGGCAGAGAGGAGGGCAAGAAAGAGACAGCTGGAGGATAAACGGGCGGCGGGTCCCACCTCAAAAGGCCACGGAGAGAAGGAAGGGAGGGGTGAGAGCATCCAGAGGATCCTGGGAGGGGGTCTGAAGGGCTACTGTGGCCATGTCTGAATGTTAACCTGGCTAGATAAAGGTTTGCATCGTAAATCGGGGAGTTGCCAGTTGAAAGGTGGGTGGCTGTAGTAACGTTTTCAAGAAATAAACAACCCAGATTAAAAATATCTTAGTTTTTTGTTTCATCCTGATTTCCCCTAGTCTCTCTAAACCCCTCAACTTGTGGTGATTGTTCTGCTATGTTTTGCACAGGTAGCCCCCAGAGCAATCGGGCCCGAAATAAATTCCTAAAAAGGATTCATCAGAGCTGTTTAAAATGTGTATTATTAGGAATTGGATGTATCTCAGCGGGTGGGTTTAGAGCGCTCCTAAAATCCTTTTCCTTAACTGGAGGAAACTTGTGAGAGAGAGGGAGGGACGGAGGGAGGGAAGAGAGAGAAAGAAAGAAAGAGACACACAGAGAGAAAGAGACAGAAGGAGAGATCCGAGACAAAACTAGAAAAAGGAGAGAGAGAGAGAGAGGAAGAAATAGAAAAAGAGAAAGAGAAAGAAAGGAAAGAGAGACAGAAATTGACAGACAAAGAGAAAAAGAAAGAAAGAGAGAAAGAAAGGTTGGTACTTACTGTCTTCTGACATCTCTAAAGAAAGCCTCTGACAGATACACTTCCTCCACATAAGAAGGCAGAGAACTGCTTTTCAGTTTCCCCACATAATATTTCTCTGGTTTCCGCAGCTTGGACTTCTTCAAGTGCTCCACCACTTTGTAGGTGTTTTCGCTGGACGTGGTGAAGAATTCCACAATCACATCCTTCCGCTTGGACTCCTTGTCTGACTCCTTCTTGGTCTGCAGGAGGATAAAATAAGAAGGGAGGAGGCTGAGCTGCTATTTTTGAAACGTGGTTTTAAAACACGAGAATGACCAATGACTACGTTCTAGTCAGCTCTGTTCCTTTTCTTTAGGGGTTACCATTCATGTTTTCAACCCCTTAGAAAGCCTGTTTGGTCTAGTGATGGGAGCCCAGAACCTGGAGACAGGGAGTTCTAGTTCCATTGGGGTGACTTTGGGTCAGTCACAAAGTGATGGTGAGTTCTAATCGTGCCTTAGCCATGACTGTCAATTGGGTGAATTTGGGCCAATCCCCAGGAGATGGTGAGTTCTAATTCCACCTTAAGT